ATATTAACTCTGGTTATATATGCATATTAAGATGTTTTGGTTATCTATCCTACTTGTGTTGTATTATTGTACTTATTTAACGGCCCGGAAGTTGGGGCGTTACAGTATCAGTCTGAGGACATCAGTGTTTGGGGGTATTAGTTTTGTGGTAGAAAATTTGGGGGGCAGAAATCAGTGTTTGAGTGCAATTATCCAGCTTATGATTTCAACCGTGTGTTGTATCTGTCTAAGCCGAGGTGCTGTACGTTTTTCTGATTTTTTGTTTATTTTGCTTTATTTTCTGTTTTGCAAGGTAGTATTTTCATCATTACTTCTGACGAGGCAGTTACCCCCCAAGCACTCTGGACCAGAGTTAGGAGACTTTATCGATCTGGGGATCTTGTGAGAGGACAACCCGTGTTTGCTTCGCTTCCCCTGGTTACAAGACGGAGGAGAGTTTAGCATAATTCACTAGTTTGTCAGTCATCTGTGTTTAGTGAAAACCAGTTTTCTGTTTCTACTTCAGAGGGTACACAGAGTCAGACAGATCAGTATCTTTCAGTCAGTATGGAGGAAATGATGCATCAACTCCAGCAAACAATCGAGGCCATGCATCGGGATGCTGATCGCCAAGCAAAGGTCACCACTCGACAAACAGAGGTTGTAGCCCAGTAGGCTGAGGTAATTGCCAGGCTTCAACTGCAACAGCATCAACAGCCACAACAAGCAGCGGCGTCTGCTTCACACCCACCCCCACCTAGGGCTCTAATACCCGGGGAAACAGTAAATGTCCAGGAAAATACAGACTTCCCAATAGGGCCAGCCGACTTCAGACAGTAGGGCCAGTCCCACCTCAGACGTCTAAAGCACCGGCTTACCCAATGGACACGCCGTTCGAATTTGAGGTCGATTCAACCGCTTTAAAAGTGAGCAAGCTCAAGAAGTTGTTCAAGCGAGCTCAGGGAGTTAACTCAATCCCAGACATAGAGGACGGCTACACAGATTCGGCGGTGACATTGCCGGACAGATTTAAAATGCCTCACATAGATTGCTTCGACGGCTCCGTCGATCCTATGGTCCATTTAAGGCTGTTTTCAGATATTCTACGCCTGATGGGCTTGACCACAATGCAGAAGCTATCCCTTTTTGGTCGGACCCTGTTGGGTATTACGGCTATTTGGTACGCCAAACTGGAGGATTCAATGAAGAGGAATTGGGAGGAGATGGCCGAGGCTTTTATTGCCTAATATTCTTACAATACTCAAATCGAGGTCACAACTCGTGATCTCGAGGCAACCAGGTAAGAGCCGAAGGAGGGCTTCTCTGACTTTGTTACCCGATGGAGGGCTAAGGCCTCCATGATGACAACCAGGCCAGTCGAGAAAGACCAAATAAGGATGGTCGTTTGGAATATGCAACAGAAGCTGCTGTAGAAAATGATTGTTTTACCCCTCTTCACCTTTGCGGATCTTCATGAGATTGGGGTATAGATAGAAGACGCTATAAGAGCAGCCCAAGAGGGCGTTTACCCATGGTTTGAATGCAGCTACAAGTAGTAGTGCAGCCGTAAGAACTTCTGACGTCGGCATGATCACCACCACGCAAAAAATAGCCATACCCTTTACCGGTATATCCGGAGCCACCATACAACCTGTAAAGTATTGTAGATACCCCATTTTTGACCGTCCTCAAGACTTAGACGTCATCGTTTGAACACTCAATGATTATCCATGTTTGTGTTCGTCCAGAGTTCTCGAAGGTCTCGGCCATGCGCCTTGCCTCAAGACCTCTCGACTTGCCTGTTTTGTGTTTGGTTTTGCACCAAACACTTGTGTTTTTGCTTCTGAGGGTGGGACATAGCTTGTTGGCCTTCCCCATACCTCACTGGCCATGGCTCGAAGCCACCGACCCTGTTTTGTTGCTACTGGCCATTGGATATGGCCGGTCGGCACTCTGTCTGGTCGGTCGACCAGTGTTTTGGTCGATTTGTCATTTTTGGTGTGTTTTGGTCGATTTGTCATTTTTGGTTGGCCGACCACTGTTCATCTGCTTTTGGCAGATATTTTGTGCCAGCTAGCACAGCTAGCACGCACAATTAACCCCCTCCCTCCATACACGTGCATGGAGGGATTTTCCTCTTGCTTAGCTTGTTTTGTAAGCTTTGCAAGATTGTAATTCCTATAAAGGGAGGGCTTCTCCTCCCTCCTCAAGGGTTCCGAGAAGTTCCAGAGGTCTAGTTTTAGGGTTAAGAGTCTTGTATCTATCCTATCTCTATATCTCCCTCTCCTTTTGATTTGTGTGTGTATAAGGTGTGTTTGTTCTTAGTTTTGTACTAAGGCACCTAGTGTTACACCATACCTTGGTTGCTGAGGTGCCAAAGGGTTGTTCTTGGAGTTCTTGGGCTGGTTGTGACCTAAGGAAGGTGCTGGAGCTCTCTTCTTGAAGAAGGTCTTCAAGGATAAGAACCTTACCCCTTTATTTCCCATTTTTGCACAAGCTTTTAACCTATCTTGCATCTGTTTTTAAGCTTAGTGTATAACTGAGAAATGTTCTTTTTTTACTTGCTTTTGATCTTTGTTTAAGGTCTCTTTGGTGTTTGGGGTTGTTTACCCCTTCTTAGGCCTTGTTTGGTCTCATTTTGTGCCTCTTTTTGTAAGCTTCGGGACCACCTTGTATTGGTCTTCCCACCACTGAAATCCATCGAGGGTCATCCCCTCTTCTTGTTGCCTTCAATATTTGTCATTTTTGCCTCATGTGTGAGCATCTTGTTTAAGTTCACGATGGCCATGTCTTAGCTGGTATTTGTGGTTGTTTTGCCATGTTATATCTCTGTTTCAAGTTGGTTAGACACACCATGCATGCTTTGCATACTTGCCTTGTAATGCCATGAAATTGCCTTAACATGCTTTGTGCTTTGAGCCTTGTTTTTAGCATGATTTTGGCTTAGCTTTGTGAAGCTTTTATGCATATTTTAGTGTGCTTGATGTCTGACTTTGGTTATTTGGGTCGTCTATGACTTGCTTTGTATAGCTACCATGCAATCTCCCTCATAGGCCTTGAGTGTTGGCCTCTCTAGCATGCTCTCCTTGCATCATTTCAGTGGTTTGGCACCACTTATCATGTCATTTCAGTCCATAGGGTATGCTTGTATGCTTGCATTTGATACTCCTTTGATTATTTTAGTGTGCTTGATGTCTGACTTTGGTTATTTGGGTCGTCTATGACTTGTTTTGTATAGCTACCATGCAATCTCCCTTATAGGCCTTGAGTGTTGGCCTCTCTAGCATGCTCTCCATGCATCATTTCAGTGGTTTGGCACCACTTATCATGTCATTTCAGTCCATAGGGTATGCTTGTATGCTTGCATTTGATACTCCTTTGATACTTTAAAAGGTTGATGTCTTATGCTTTATGTTTGGACCATTATGTATGCTTCCATGTGTAGGCCATTTAGATGCCATCTAAGTGTGTTTTGGGCTTTGTCTCGACCTATATTGGGACTGTTTTGAGTCCCCTCGACCCTTTGGGACTCGTCTTGCATAGCCATGGTTTGATCCCTTAGGTTAGCCTTAGGCCTTGGGCTTGGTTGCATGCTATGCTTGCCTTGTTTAATTGGTTTGGCACCTTTTCTAACATGATTTCAGAGCTTGCTATGCTTGCCATATGTCCATGTTCATCCCTTTTAAGTGTTCTTAAAAGTTGCCTCTTTATGCTTAAGTGTTGGACCATGTGTGCATGCATGTTTGTATATGACTTTGTCCTTTGTCTCTTAGCATCTCTGCCACTGATTTGGGCCTATTTTAGAGCTGCCCAAATTGGTTTAAGACCATCCTTCGTATGTTGTCGCATGCTCGCCTTGTGTGTTGTTACGTACTTAGCCTATCGCATGTTGTTGCATGATTGAATCGCATTGCATTTAGCATGCATTTTCTTTGCTAAAGTTGCTTTACATGTTCCCATGCTAAGTCCCATTCACATGTCGTTGCATGTTGGTTATTAGCATTATTGTTACATGCCTCGCATGCTTGTTTGCTTAGGTTGTGTGCCTAGTACACATTGCTTGTTTGTATGCTCATATTGCATACTTAGCTCGCATGCTCAGGTTGCATTTTGCATGCATGCCTTGTCTCTTGAATTATCATGATAGAGGTTGGGTCCTTTGTTTGTTTGGTGTGCATTTCATTTGACATTGAAATGGCACACTTGGTGTCATGACCCAAACCCACCCCTAAAACTTTGGCATCGTAACCGGCCAGTAATCCAAGATTACCACAGGCCTTCCTGTACAAAACGTAAATAATCGGGGCTAGCGGAAGCAAAGACAAAATGCCATAAGTCCAAAGAGCTGTGCATATGTATGAACAAATATTTACATGCCAAAAATGTTAATTTACCCACTTACATTACATAACATATAACGAAATAACAAACACAAAACATAGGCACGCGCCACAAGTGTACAACAAAAACAAAGCTTGCAGACGGCCTTCCAGGCCTAGCCCCAGCTCGGAGGCACACAAAACACCTGGTAGGCTTCCAAAACGGCGGCTCGGTTCAAGACTCCGCCTAGGCTTGACTCCCAGAATGCTCACCCATAATACATATATATACAAACAGTGAGCTAAAGCCCAATGAATAACATTAAAGTAAAGGGGTAGTGAACGAATTCTACATATAAGGTATTCATAAAATAAATCATTCATAAACATTCATATAAGAACATAGCATAATGGTACATCTCACAGGATACAACATATATCGTCTTCCAACTAGAGAATCGGTTCCGGTTACCGATTAACACATATCACCACAATGAAGTGGCTAACGAGATCTCGTATCACGTGTATGTCATGGACCCGCACTAATGTGTCGTCCCCCATGACTTGGGACTATCCGTAGATGCCATACTAGTTCTGCAAATATGATATTCGTTCACAGAATCAAGATAGCACTTTGAGAAAACATAGTGTATCAATAATAGTTAAAACATAATTTTTTATCAACATAACTTTATAGAAATGTTACTCATAGTGGGTTGCCAAAACCGGTTGCACGGTCTTCGAGTCTTGACCTACAAATACCAACATTATAACACAATTCCTTAACACATTTTGCCATCGAATCAATTAGTTAATGCCATTATATTCTTTCTTTACTTTGTTTCATGCTAATGGATGCAAATGACATGCGAAAATCAAGTAAATGAAGGCCCGGAAGTCAGAAAACGTCAAAAAAACAAAATTGGAAAATGTGCACTGTTTGGCCGCACGTGCGGTGGCTTGGCCGCTCGTGCGGTGGCCCAGGCTGCACGAGCGGTGGAACTGCAGTAGCCAAAACACTGTTTGGCCGCTCGAGCGGTCTGGGTGAAAAACCAGTCCCATTTTTTGCTAATCCGTGGGTCTCCCTCCTTTACAAAAACAACATCAAATTTATGAAAACAAGGCCCAGGCACTTGAAAACAACTCAACTTAAATATCAAAACTTCTAAACAAAACCCAAATGCATCATTTCTTAAGTCCATGGAGTTTCCTCCCCAAATATGACAAGTATAAACATGAATCATAATAATATGCCATGTATGCTAAAAAATGCATCCTAGGTTAAATACAACACAATACTATCAATTATACATAATTTCCCCTTCATTCCATTTACTTACCATAAGATCATGGGTGAATCAACCTTATTTCAAGAAATTAGAAAGAGATTCTTATCTTAATTAATTAATTGGAGAAGTTTAGGCTTGATTCCCCTTTCTTTCCTCTTCTTCCCTTTGGTTCCCCCTTTCTCACGACCTCTCTCTCTCTTTCTCAGATATTTTCCACTTTTGTTGAGTCAAACAAGGGTCCTTATCTTTATCTATACATCATATATATAATTGTGCCAAAAACTTGAGCCAAACATGGCTTAGCGAATCAGACGAAAATCAGTTCTCAATTAAATTTTCCAAATGGCTCTAAAAATCCCCGGTAACATATAGACGTGTTCAATTTCGTTTTTCGAACCCATTATGGTTGTCAATTTCAGTCCCGAAGTTGTAGCCTCAACAGATATTTTTCCAATTCAAACAAATATTCTCTAATTAATTCATATTATCGCATAATTAATTAAGGATTGTGACATGCGTTTTGGGCCGTTACATTCTCCCCACCTTAGGAAGTTTGGTCCTCCAAACTTAGCTTATCCTGGCACAATCTAAATTAGAAATCTCGTTCGCATGTTATTAATCCGTCCGTCATAGGTGTTCAATTCATTCCGCAGCCATATAGTAGTTCACAAGTCATCACAGTTACCCAGAAGTGTCTTCATACAAAGAGGCCAACTCGGCGGTTCTATTCAGTTATTCAGCATAATAGCAGTCAAACACATAATAAACATATCTTGCACTTCTCCCCAAAATCCATTGTAAAGTCACGTAAGACTGAAGTAGTCAATCAAAAAATGTATAAGGTAATATATGGCCTAGTAGTTGAGGTTTCAACCTGAAGTCTACTGTTAACAAGTTTCATAGCGTTCAATTCAAAGGGAGTAACATAGATGTAACCATTCCTTAAACAATTAATAGCAAAGGTAATAGCAAGGGTAAATTTGTTCCGTCACAGTCACATGTTCAATATTTTCCATCGCATAGGTAACATTGCTAACATAACAATAGATAGTAAAATCATACCTGCATTCGCTGTTCCAATATTCTGTGTCTTTTTTGAAACTAGGGTATAAACCCTTCCTTGCCTCAACGTGTTCCCCTCAGGAGTAGATGTTGTGGTTGTTCTCGGTGTCATTGTTGATTTAACCCCACTAGTAACAGGTCTCTCATTGCTTGGATAGGCTTGTGGACAAGATTTGGCCAAGTGTCCTTTCTGTCCACATTTGAAACAAGCTCCAGATACACGGCGGCAAATGCCCCAATGCTGCTTCCCACATTCCCTACAAGTGGGTATACCAACACTTCTACTACTTCCCCTCTTTGTATTATCACCAATACTTGAGTTCAAATTCTCATTCACGGAGGTCATTGATTCACTAACCATTTCCACTTTCTGTTTCTTAAATCTCTTACTTTCTCTTTCAGTCGTTATTGTTGACTTGGACATTTTCAAGGTAGCAATATTTGCTTTAGACATCAAGGCCTTGTCAAGTACATCAACATACTTTACCAATTTCAAAACATTCACCCGGTCAAGAACTTCGACATGTAAGCCACCCTCAAATTTTCTTGCTTTTTTGTAGTCTGTATCAACCATATGAGGAGCATATCGGGCAAATTCAGTAAATTTAGCTTCATACTCTGCTACTGACATTGTACCTTGCTTCAACTGTTCAAATTCAGATACCTTCCTATCTCGAAGGCATTGTGGGAAGTATTTTTCATAAAACATTTCTTTGAATCGATCCCATGTCAAGTCCTTATTCTCATCTCGAACGAGCATCCACCATCTTCTAGCTTCTTCTTTCAGAGTAAATGTTGCAAACAGAACTTTATACGCGTCAGTGCACAGAAACACTTCAATGATCTTTTCAGTTTCAAGCACCCATGCCTTCGCTTTTAACGGTTCAATACCCCCTGAGAATTTTGGTGGTTTTATTTTCTTGTATTTCTGTGTCAGAGTGATGATGTCATCATTATTGTTCGGTTCCATTTGAACAGGTTGCGGAGGAGGAGGCGGAAATGGTTGTCTCTGTTGTTGTTGGTTTTGCTCTTGTTGTTGTCTCTCCAACCCAGTTAAAGCTTCCACCATTCTTTCTAACCAATCTATTCTGGCATTAGAAGATTCTGACTTATCTACATTCCTTGCATTGGTATTCTCCATTGGTCTATAGAACCCATAGCAGATAGAGCATTTTATTCTCAACATAGTGTTTCCTCTATTGTCTCATCATTTACAGTTCTTGTTTCTTATATTTCAAAAACACACACACACATGCACACATGTTTATGCCATGCCCTATTTCTTTTCTAAGACACCCTACAGCTCATATGGACACTTGTGCGGGTAAATTAACTCGTGCTCTGATACCATTCTGTCACGACCCAAACTCGCCCTTAAAAGTTTGGCATCGTAACCGGCCAGTAATCCAAGATTACCACAGGCCTTCCTGTACAAGACGTAAATAATCGGGGCTAGCGGAAGCAAAGACAAAATGCCATAAGTCCAAAGAGCTGTGCATATGTATGAACAAATATTTACATGCCAAAAATGTTAATTTACCCACTTACATTACATAACATATAACGAAATAACAAACACAAAACATAGGCGCGTGCCACAAGTGTACAACAAAAACAAAGCTTGCAGACGGCCTTCCAGACCTAGCCCTAGCTCAAAGGCACACAAAACACTTGGTAGGCTTCCAAAACGGCGGCTCGGTTCAAGACTCTGCCTAGGCTTGACTCCCAGAATGCTCACCTATAATACATATATATACAAACAGTGAGCTAAAGCCCAATGAATAACATTAAAGTAAAGGGGTAGTGAACAAATTCCACATATAAGGTATTCATAAAATAAATCATTCATAAACATTCATATTAGAACATAACATAATGGTACATCTCACAGGATACAACATATATCGTCTTCCGACTAGAGAATCGGTTTCGGTTACCGATTAACACATATCACCACAATGAAGTGGCTAACGAGATCTCGTATCACGTGTATGTCATGGACCCGCACTAATGTGCCGTCCCCCATGACTTGGGACTATCCGTAGATACCATACTAGTTCCGCAAATATGATATTCGTTCACAGAATCAAGATAGCACTTTGAGAAAACATAGCGTATCAATAACAGTTAAAACATAATTTTTTATCAACATAACTTTACAGAAATGTTACTCACAGTGGGTTGCCAAAACCGGTTGCACGGTCTTCGAGTCTTGACCTACAAATACCAACATTATAACACAATTCTTAACACATTTTGCCATCGAATCAATTAGTTAATGCCGTTCTATTCTTTCTTTACTTTGTTTCATGCTAATGGATGCAAATGACATGCGAAAATCAAGTAAATGAAGGCCCGGAAGTCAGAAAACGTCAAAAGAGCAAAATTGGAAAAAACACTGTTTGGCCGCACGAGCGGTGGAACTGCAGTAGCCAAAACACTGTTTGGCCGCTCGAGCGGTCTGGGTGAAAAACCAGTCCCATTTTTTGCTAATCCATGGGTCTCCTTCCTTTGCAAAAACAACATCAAATTTATGAAAACAAGGCCCAGGCACTTGAAAACAACTCAACTTAAACATCAAAACTTCTAAACAAAACCCAAATGCATCATTTCTTAAGTCCATGGAGTTTCCTCCCCAAATATGACAAGTATAAACATGAATCATAATAATATGCCATGTATGCTCAAAAAAGCATCCTAGATTAAATACAACACAATACTATCAATTATACATAATTTCCCCTCTATTCCATTTACTTACCATAAGATCATGGGTGAATCAACCTTATTTTAAGAAATTAGAAAGAGATTCTTATCTTAATTAATTAATTGGAGAAGTTTAGGCTTGATTCCCCTTTCTTTCCTCTTCTTCCCTTTGGTTCCACCTTTCTCACGACCTCTCTCTCTCTTTCTCAGATATTTTCCACTTTTGTTGAGTTAAACAAGGGTCCTTATCTTTATCTATACATCATATATATAATTGTGCCAAAAACTTGAGCCAAACATGGCTTAGCGAATCAGACGAAAATCAGTTCTCAATTAAATTTCCCAAATGGCTCTAAAAATCCCCAGTAACATATAGGCGTGTTCAATTTCGTTTTCCGAACCCATTATGGTCGTCAATTTTAGTCCTGAAGTTGTAGCCTCAACAGATATTTTTTCAATTCAAACAGATATTCTCCAATTAATTCATATTATCGCATAATTAATTAAGGATAATTGTGACATGCGTTTTGGGCATCAGGTAGTGAATCAGAATCTGATTCCACAGAGTCTGTGGAGTCGGAATCAGATTCCAGTTCTTCTGAGTCAGAGTTCGGTATTCCTAGGGGTGATAACCCAGATGCCGTTATGTTGTCCAGGTCATTTTTTTCATTTTCTTTTGAGTCGGTTGTAATCGAAGAATCAGACTATCTGGAGATTGCTAATGAGAATGGTACTGCTGTGGCTTTTGAGTACTTTTCTGTGCCTTTAGTATATTGCATTAATCAGGACTTTCAAAATTTTGATGAAAATGACGAGAAAAAAATTCCTCCGATTTTGAAACATTTGATTGATCGAGAGCAGGAGAGGTTTGTAAAACCGTTGGTTGATGAAATCACCTCAATTAATATTGGTACTGAGAAGGATCCTTGGTTGGTCCAGATCGGGTACACGTTGTCTTCGGAGGAACCCGAGCGCTTAGTCACTTTATTAAAAGATTTCAAAGATGTTTTCACGTGGTCCTACGAAGACATGCTTGGAATCGATCCTGAGATTGCACAGCACCGGATCCCTCTTGGCCGAGAGGCCCGACCTGTTAAGCAGAAGCTTCGAAAGACCCGCCCGGATTGGGCTCTGAAAATCAAAGAAGAAGTCACTAAGCAGATTGATGCAGGGTTCCTGTTAGTATCTGAGTATCCTACTTGGTTGGCCAACATAGTTCCGTTGCCAAAGAAGGATGGCAGAATTCGGGTATGTGCAGACTTCAGAGATTTGAACAAAGCCAGTTCGAAGGACAACTTTCCTCTGCCGCATATTGATGAATTGGTGGACTTTACTGCTGGGCATGCGTTGCTCTCATTTATGGATGGGTTTTTCGGGTATAACCAGATTCTGATGGCACCCGAGGACAGGGAGAAGACTGCCTTCACCGCCTTGTGGGGAACCTACTGCTATAGGGTAATGCCATTCGGTTTGAAGAATACTGGGGCTACTTATCAATGGGCTGCAACCACGATCTTACACGATATGATCTACAAAGAGGTTGAAGTGTATGCGGACGACATGATTGTCAAGTCCAAGGAAAGAGAAGGCCACTACACCGCCTTGAAGAAATTTTTCCACCGGATCAGAGAGTACTGGTTACGACTGAATCCTCAGAAATGTACTTTTGGTGTTAAAGCAAGGAAAATGCTGGGGTTCTTGATTACACAAAGGGGTATCGAGGTTGATCCTTCCAAAACCAAGGCCATCTTTGAAATGCCACCACCAAGGACTGAAAAGGAGGTGCGAGACTTTCTGGGTAAAGTGCAATTCATAAGACGGTTTATTACAAAATTAACCTTGACTTGTGAACCAGTATTTGGTCTCCTGAAGAAAGGAAAGAAGTTCTAATGGGATGACCGATGCCAAGTTGCTTTCGAGCAGATCAAACAATATCTATAGAACCCGCCCGTGTTGTCACTGCCAGAGTCGGGAAAACCGTTGATATTGTATCTATCAGTAACTGACACTACAATGGGCTGCATGCTTGCGCAGGAATCTGAGGATAACGTGGAGAAGGCTATCTACTACCTGAGCAAGAAAATGCTGGAATACGGGACCCGCTACACTCTGTTGGAGAAGGCTTGTTTGGCCTTGGTATGGGCTATCATGAAGTTGAGGCACTACCTGCTAGCTCACTTCATAATACTGGTTTCGAGATTGGATCCCACCAAATATATCTTTGAAAAACCAGCACTTACGGGTAGGCTAGCCTGTTGGTTGCTTCTTCTCTTCGAATTCGATTTGTAGTAAATGACTTGCAAGTCTGTGAAAAGGAAGAGTAGTAGTGGAGTTCCTAGCCGATCACCCAGTGGAGGGAGATGAAGCCGTAGAGTATCTGTTCCTGGATGAGGCCATTCTGCAGGTTGAAGAAGAAATTTAGCTTATGTACTTTGACGGAGCGTCTAATCAATACGGGTATGGGATAGGGGTGTTGCTGATAGCGCCCGACAATTCCCACATACCCTTAGCTTTCAAACTCCGATTCAAAGTATCGAACAATGAAGCAGAATATGAGGCATGTATCGCTGGCTTGGAAGCCGCCCTGAAACTAGGGGTAAAAAGGTTGGATGTCATTAGGGACTCGAACCTGGTTGTGTCTCAAGCGAAAGGAGACTGGAAGGTTAAGGAAGAAAGGATGAAAATCTACCACCAAACCCTGGACGTTCTAATTCCCAGGTTTGAGAAGTTAACCTTCACCCATCTGTTAAGAGAGAGCAACAGGTTTACAGACACTTCATCAACTTTATCTTCCATGATAGACATCCCTTTAGGAGTCCAAATGCGTCCAATCATCATTGAATAGAGATATGTGCCAGCCTACGAGCTGATTGCTGCCATAGATGAAGCACAAGATCAGAACCTTTGGCATCATGACGTCTGAAACTTCTTGGAAAAGGAGGCTTATCCACCAGGGGCAAATGCCAAAGATAAGAGGGCAATACGAAGAATGGCTGCTCAGTTCATCATCTGCGGGAGTAAATTCTATGAACATGGTCATCTGGGAATGCATAAACTTTGTGTGGATGCTGAGGAAGCTAAGCGCCTAATGGAGGCCATCTACAGAGGAGAGTGCGGATCGCATATGAGCGGAGTGATGCTAGCTCGGAAGATTCTCAGACAGGGTTACTACTGGTCAACCATGGAGGAGGATTGTATTAGCTTTGTTCGGCGATGCCAAAAATGCCAGATCCATGCAAATCGCATGAACATCCCGCTGTCGAAGCTGTACAACATGACTTTACCGTGGCCATTTTCAGTCTGGGAAATTGATGTGATTGGGGCAGTTACTCCGAAGGGGTCGAATGGCCATGAGTATATCCTGGTGGCGATAGGTTACTTTACAAAGTGGGTTGAGGCCCAATCTTATGCGGTGCTGAAAGCGTCACACGTAGC